TGACTTAATCTACTATGACTTTTGGATTGACTAGGGGTCCCATCAAATATTGAAATTTGGTATTGATCAAATGGTTTCAGTGAAATCACATCATTAAATCACCAAATTAAATCAAATTTTTAAATCCAAATAATATTAGACTTCAACTTATAACCATAGAAAATGGGAAATATTGGAGTGAAGCAATGGACTGGGCTTAACATTAATGGATCCACGGCACAATACCTCCGAAGGCAATGCATCGTTGGTCCAAGTAATAAAAAAAAAAAAAAAAAAGGAAATTGGAAGGAGCACATTAAATTAAAGTTCATTGTAAAAAAAGTACACAAAAAATTGTAGGATAAAAAAGTCCTTAATTTTGATACTTATTTGTGTCTAAATACATTATTTAAAATTTTTAGATTTAGAAAGTGGTTTTGTTTTCAAATTATATTTATGCATTAAACATCTCCTAATTTTATGAGATTACTTTAATATTTCATTTATTTATACATTAAACATCTCATAATTTTATGATATATCATTTTATTTGAATTTTAAATTTGAAACCCTGACATTTGTGGTGTATACGTCTTCTTCGACCGGGCAGACAAAGACACTACATTTTATTTTTGGAAACTGATTTATTTTTGGATTTTATTTGTGCGATTTATTTTTGGAAACTAATTTTTTTTCCCAGATTATGTGTATGCATTAAAAATCTCCTAATTTAATTGAAGATTTGATTTTTTGATTCTTCCATTTATTTTGAGGATAAATCAGTTGGTTTAAATTTTAAATTTTACAACAACATTTTTTGTTATCTTCTTCTTTTTCGGCCTAGAAGTCATTTATCAGTACAAGTCTAAAAACATTATTTCATCCTTATCATTCAAAATAATTATAAGGTTTGAATTCATGATTTCATTAGGTTAATGTCTGTCATTTTAAAGGTGATTATTTTATTTTTTAATATGCAAACCATAAAAGTGTAACAATAACAATATAATCAGATACTTACACAAAATATTGTACTATTACATTTTGTCAAACATATATTTGTATATAATTTCATTCAAACAATCTAACTCTGTTTTGAATTTGTTACCATATCTATAAAACCATCCAACATTATCTTTATTACAGTGTATTGTTACACTATTTTTGTTATACTATGAGGGAAACACTGTCAGCAAGTAGGAGATACATATAGTTTATTCACATACAATAAATTAATATGACAGAAATACATGGCAGAAACATCGCATTTTCACACAGGTTAATGATCAACTTCAACAAATTGGTTATGGTCTTTAAATGCCGAAGTTCGTATGTATCTTCAAATGACGAACAAATCTTCGAAAAATAGATATTGTTGACAATCTTACATCAAATGGGCTGAATAATAGAATTTTTCCTTCAAAAACGAAACCCTATAGATGCTCAGGGAACAACAACTTTAAGCCAAAAAAAACACCAAAATCAAAATAAATGTAATGTATTTTGATTTTGGATAACTCATGATGTCAAAAAAAAAAAAGTACATAAAATGACGAAGTTCAATGATCACCTTATTAGTTGGTCAAAAAAAAAATGATCACCTTATTAAACGCAGGCCAACGAGCAACAATCAACGCCTGTTTCAGGTTTACAAATGCTGAAGTTCGAAAGTTTCTTTAAATCGTAAACAAATCTTTCACCATTCTTGAGTTTGTGCCAATCTAACACCAAATTCTCTGTGAATCGATGTACCTTGCACAGTTGAAACCCTCTCCTTGTTCATGGAAGACAAACAGTTGGAAAGTTTCTCCTAAAAAGAGCAATCGATTTTCTGTGAGGAAGGAGTATACAAAATGATTACTGAAGATTGAAAGATTTCGAAATGAATGTCACTAAATTTCAACAGTTAAGATAACTGGCTTATTAAATTTTTTAGGAAAGAAAATTTTACAAAATAGACATTTAGGTCTTTGTATCTCAGTAGTGTATTTTTTTAAAAATATTTTTTGGTGTATTTTATTATAATTATGTGTAATTTGGTGTACCGGCTTCCACAGGATCCATAAAAAATAGAAAATTTGTAAAAAGGTATACTATACATTACTTATTTGTGAGGAAGTACCTTAATATAAATATTCTGTGTATAAAACTTTTTTTGTGCAAAAGTTTTGTGAATATATACACTTTGGTTGTTTTTTAAATGTTTTATTTACATAAAAATGTTTTTCCTTTAATTATAGAAGATAATTTAGACAGTTAATTATGGGATTCAGTTTCTTATTCTTGAAGGACAGACCATTTGAATTTTAAAATACATCTCCCTCTTTCATTTAACGACTGAAATTCTGAAAACAACCCTCTTCATCTTATTAATTGGTTTCTTTTTTTTTCTTATTCTTTTTGACTAGCTAATTGGTTTCTTAAATTAAATAATAATTAACCGTTTGAATTTTAAAAGAATTCTATTAGTTTTCGATAAACCAAGTAACTCACCCCAGGAAACCCCACTTCCTCTCTATTTGCTTTTACTCCCGTAAAATAGTATGTCTGTATCTAGTCTCTTTGTTTTTTTCTATTGGGAATTAACTCTGTTGATGGTTTTTTGACGTTGGTCGGAGTTTGTCAAATTTCATGTAACATGCATGGGAATCATGTCCAAATCTTAGACGTGACAAGGTCTAACATTTCTCGCCACACATTCACGTCTGTTTTGACGATATTTAAATCTCACGTTTTCTGATTAGGACATGAGACCTTGACCATCCGAACCAAACTGTAACTATTGAAACTTAAAATTATTACTAGCATTGTCGTTTGAATGATCAACAAAAAAAATGATGGCATCCCCTTGTTAATAAGATTAATATCAGACAAATTATAACTAAGTAAGGGACTTTGTGGCAAGGATACAAAGGTTGGTACATGATTAGAGTCCCTGATTTTGGTAGTTACATGATTCAAGTTCATGTGAAAAACTGAGATGGTGATTAGGTGAATACTATTATGAATTCTGCACATAATGAGAACTGAGACAAGGGATAACTAAAAGCTAGTACTAGCATAATAAGTAAAGAACAGTACCATCCAAAATAGAGTACAAAATGCTTACAAAACTTAGTATTACCTAAAAGACTAAGCAACTTTTGTTTGGATTCAAACATTTTCCAATATATTTTTTCTTAATTTTTGTCAACGTTAAATCACCCATTATAATTTTAACATGGACCCACTGTCCTCACTCCCTCAAATCACCTACTATATATAAATAAACTTCCACTAATACACGACAGGTGATCTGTCTTTGAAGAAAATTGAGAAAAAAATGTATTGAATGAGATCCAAATACTTCCTCGACTTCAAAATCAGGTTGCTTCTTCTTCTCTAAGGTTTGCACTGGTCTTGTTATTTTCCTTTTTCTTTTTCATCTTAATTTTGTTTGGGTGGGGGAAAGGGGTGTGTGCGTGTGTTTTTTTTTTTTTTTTTTGGGGGGGGGGGGGGGGTTGGGGGTTAGTTATCAAATGATGCTCATGTTATCAACAAATACAATAATTTATAATGTTTACCTTTGGCAGAATTGAAAGTTTTTCTCAGAGCATGTGCAGCTTTGTTACCTTTCAAAGACAGGAAACTATTAGAGTTGTTGGTAATTTTAGTGGTTTCATCTTGTGAGTATTAATGGATATAGTTGGTTTGACTAACTAATGCAAAAGTAAAAGTAAAATTAATATTCTGTTCCTTTTCTCTCTCTTTCTCTCATTATTATTCTCCCAAATCCTAGTTGAGGATAGACTTTCAAATTATTATTTATTCTGAACATGATTTTGACATTTAATAACTCAGAGATCTCAGGTTTAATCCCTTTTTATACTCTTTAAGGGCTAGTCTTCTTGTCCTTTTAGGGACATACTCTAACCCAACTGAAACTACAGTGGTCAACTGTTGAGGTTTGAGAGAGTAAGTCGACACAAACTTAGATATCCTATAGATAAAAAAAATACACTATACAGACAGTGGGATGGAGGCAGCCCTGCAGCAGATATGGCTGGTGGAGGGATTAGAAGAATGGCATGGCCAGATCAAAATTGAAATGAGGGGTGTCAATTAAGTTATGTTACATAATTTTTGTTTTGTGTTATTTTGAGTAGTATTAATTCAAATTTTGGTTTAGGGCGTCTGCTTGTTAATATATATTTGTGTAAAGAAAATAGTATTTAATGTTAAAATAATTGATGCAATATTATATAGAAAATAAAAATAATGAAAAATGCTCATTTGTTTTTACAATAAGAGTTAAACGGGTTATTCATGTCTAAAACTAACCAATCTATTTATTTCTCGTGTTAATAAATTGATAAATCATGTTATTTTTTAGTGTTTATCAGATTGAGTTTGTGTCGAACTTGATTATTCGGTAAGATTGACAACCTTTACTAGAACCATAGATTCCATCACATGGGGTCATAGCCTTATAGCTTTGAGACAAACTAGTGTCCCAAACATGTCTTAACTTGGGGTATGTGTCACCAAAAGGCTCAGATACCATGTGACCTAATTGAGGCATTTGTAGCATCCCAGAGGGACCTTAAAGGGTCAAGGACCCCAGTTGCCCTTCCCTTTGCAATTATAGCAAATGCCCTTAATAATGAAGCACAGGTCACTTTTCTTTTTTGTTTTTTTTTCGCTTTTTTTTTTGAAGAAGGAAAAAGAAAGGAACAACTAATAAGTAATAACCCTTTTGGGCATAACCAAGAGTGTCTTTCTACTGTGGAATACCTGGTTTGAGTTATAACTACTAACCCAAAAGAGCAGGCCATCACCACAACACCACCAAAGTCAACCAACAAACTGCGTTGTCTCCGTGAATCAAACTTTATTTGATAACTACGATACACTTTTCATTCACTCCCAATTCCTTTTCCATTTGTAAATAATTTACAACCAATCCAATTACATTCATATAAACTATGCAGTATGATCAAACCCTTCATCATCAGAAGACTATAGACTATTCAAATAGTTGTTCAAGCCAAGAGCCAGAAATCTTTGTGCCTCTTGGTGGTGATCAAGTAACCACCAAGTTTCCTGCTCTTCCTCCTCACTGCAATGGTCATGCAACTGGCATTCTGGATGCAGTACTCCACCACCCCGCAGCTAACCCGATTCCCCGCCCACGTCATCAATAGCCGCCATGTCATGGACTGCTTCTTCTGCCCTAGAACCAGTAATGCCACCCCTTGCTTCCTGGCCTCTTCCACTATTGCTGGACCTTTCTCTTGGCCTTCTGCCACAGCAACCTCAATTTGTACCTGCCCCGCCAATCTCTTTCACTTTGTTATCAATGCTAAAATATAAAAGTGATACATCAAGTATACCATTTTCTCTTTTCATTTTGTTGCTTTAATCCCTGGAGTTTGAGTTTTTTGTCACTTTAGTCCAATTAACAATAATTGTTTGAATTAACTATTAGTAATAACCATATGCGTATATCAACACCATACTCGAAGGATCATTTGGTCCATCCAGTTTTCAATTTATATCATTTTGGTCCTCACTATTTTCATTTGACCACTTGGTCCCTCAAATTGCCAAAGAATACCTCTTACGTACAATATGCACGTAACGATTTCTGCTAGTTTATATAACTCCCGTTTTCAGTTGGACCAATACAACACAAATAAGAAGTTTGTGAACTAAACTAACAAAATTAAAACAATGAGAACCAAATTGATTACTCTCTCAAGACTGCATCAAGTTCACAACTCACATAATGTTCAACATGACTATAGAGTTTGAAATTTTTTCTATTTAAATGCTAATATAGTTCTTGCCCACCTCAGGTCTCTTCAGTTGAGACATCTTCTTCATAGAACAGAGAAATTCAGAAACTCTTGGAGCTATCTCCTTGACGGACTCCTCACCTATAGGAAGAAATAAACATCCCCCATGTAAATTATCCTCCACATATATAACTCAAAATTGCCATAAATAGGAAGGAAAATGAAAATCATCAAAAGGGTCAAATCCAACCTTGCTTAGAAGGCTTGCTAACATAGAGAAGAATCAATGTATCTTGGTTCTGAACAGTGTGAGTCAATGCCCACTGCAGTGCATTCTTAGCTTCAAGGCTCGAATCAACAACAATCATGATTTTCCGGCCAATAGTCATCACCGGTGGCGGTTTTGCACAATCACCACCTTTTTCTTCTCCAACATTGCCAGCAGAATCATTCTTCACCTCATCATCAGTTCTTGTAGAATTATTTGAGAGGCTTTTGGATTGAACAGTTGGTGATCGAACTCGAACATGAGGCCTAATCCTGTTTAAGCAGAAACTAGGCATTTTCGCCCCCGTTCGACCCATCTCCCTAAGATGGGTCCTAAGTCCAAACTCCTATGAAACACCACCACCAGCTTTAATGGAAGGAGAGAGAGATATAAGAAGAAGGAAATGAAAATTTTCACACTTAAGGCTTAGTCTTTGGGACTCTCTGGGCCATGTTTTATTTCTCTTTGCCTCTTACTTTTTTCTTCTTTTGCTGTTTAATCATTTTGGTTCTTCGTTGTTCTTTTGTTTTTGTTTGTGTGGGACAACGTTTGAACGTGCCTGTCATGAATCTGTAGGGCCATACCTTTTGGGAGTAGTTAAGCTTTGGGAAGTTTGGGTTGTTTTTTTTTTTTTTTAATTGGTGGAATACATTTTACTCTTCTGTCACATTAAACAAACAAAAAAACAGTAGGAAAAAGTAAGTGTCGGCAAGGCTAGGCCGGGCTGCATGGCCCACTAATTAGTGGGCCTATGCTCGTATATGGGCCAGGCTCACCCAACCCATTTGAGTTGTCAACGCGATGGGATGGGATAAGATGGACCAATCTGGCATGAATAAAAAAAGCCCACAACTTATCTATTGAGCTAGACCAGTGATGATAAATGGCTTATAATGTGTTGTCTAGGGGCGTTAATCAAGACAAGTTACTTAAGCTCGGTTCAGATAAAAATCTACTCGAGCTCGATTCATGTTCTAAATGAAATGAGTTTGAATAAATTTTTAGGCTTATTTAGAACAACGAGCTTAAAAGGCTCGGCTCGTTTATATATAAAATAATCGAGTCATTCAGGCTCAACACGGGCACGAGCTCAACTTAAATTTTAAATGAGTCGAACTTGAACAATTTTTTATGTTCGTTTAAAAAAACAAGCTCATTAGGCTCAGACTCAAACTCGCAAAACTTGGCTCGATTAACACTCCTTGTGACGTCTTATTTTATTATATAGATTTAATATATACTATATAAAAATTATGAAATTATTAGTTGGATAAGTAAATTAAACATAAGCATATAAAACATCATTTTTACTAATTTAGATAAAACTTCGAAAGTCTTCAGAGTTTTTTGGTGAAGACGTGAAAATTTTTAGGGCACAATTTATACTTTTTTTGTAAATAACTTAAAATTAAAATCAAATAATTTTTTTTTTCTCACATGCCATTATACCGGAAAATTAATGAATTTGATATGCAAATCCAATCTTCTTAGGTTGGGCCAGCTCATCTTGCCGAGACGGGCCAAAAATGAGGCCACAGACAAGACCAACCCATGGACCAGGGCCAAACGTCGAGCCATACAAATGAAAGTTGCCCATTTTAGAGGAGAACAGGTTAGAAGGATACCTTTGCCTATGATTGCATGGCCAAGCATCTTGGCATAGTGGCGGGCCGGGATTCTAAAAAATTAGGCTTAATGTTTGTTCTTGAACAACGGAAGTGGATAGACATTAAGGGAGAGGGATATAATCCTTTATTTTTGTAATCGCCAAAATTGATACTTTAAGGTTTGATTCTATCAGTCCGGTTTAGAAAGTGACCATGATTGTCATGTTGCATTTAACTCCAGTAAGATGCTGGAAAATTGGTTCAAGATCTCCACGAAATCAAAACAATCTATTGATTCTATATCTAATGCAACCTATAGTGATTCAAATTTTCTTTTTGATATGTGGTGTGTATTTATCTACGTCTGGGTGCAAGCCAAAGGTAAGGATTAAGATCAACCAAACACGATGGCATATAGAGTTAGAGACATTACAAGGGTAATTGTTCCCCCTCAAAAGGGGAAATCATAACATCGACCTTTACTCCTTTACAACTCCCTTTGGGCTATCCCGGGATTTAATATGGTAATTACATGGTGCATCGAAAAACGGGATTGGTTAAGAATAGGAAATTATTTTTTTTTCCTTTTGGATTGCGTTATTTTTTTTTCCTTCTACAAAGCTTCTACATTCATGTGTTTGTAATATTCACACATAATGTTACATATATGTTATTACTAATTCAAATTGTTTGCTTAGATTAAAAAAAAAAAAAAGTCAAACACAATGGTGAATGCTAGCTACAAAAGAAAAAAAAAAAGCAAGTTGTTCTGTCGACGAAAAATAAAATACAGATGGCCAATTGGTATAATTGGTCATTTGCCCATTCAAAACTTAATTAATTTTTAAAAAAGTTATTTATCATTCACAATAATATATGTTTCTTATTTACTTTTTAGGCAATCGATATCAATGTTTAACAAAATATCAATTGGCACAACGTGCATGTCAGGAACGAAAAAGATCGAAACGTCCATCCAATCAATCTAGATTTTATTCTTCCTTAACACCGAGTCATCGCCATCAAGCTCAAATGCAACAATCATTAATGAAGAGACCTTGCAATCAACCGACGCCTGTGACTGTGAAACTTCTCCACATATAGCAAAACAAATTGTGCCAACAAATATCCTGATGTCAACGTATGTGATAACAATGCTCCGGGGGATGCCTGCACATAATCTCAACGGGTCCAATTTTGGTGAAGGAACCTTGGCACATTTGGAATCACCCTACAACATCACTATTTCTGGTCATGTAAGTTATATATGTGTAACATTCTTTCTAATCCTCTCTTATAAGTATTCTCATACGCATTATAGTATTTTCAACCATTTTTACTAATGGATATTGACCTAGCACACACAGTAAGCTAATCTTCTTATCATTCATTTTCTTACTTCTTATAGGTGTTTAATTCTTACTGCTTATCATTGAATTTAGCATTATCCTTCTTTGATTTCTAGGTCCAGTTACTTCGTCAAAAAAAATATTGGCGTTGTAATTAGTGATGCACGTGATCTTTACTGTCTTCACTTAGTTGAAGAGGTGACACGTCAATTGGTTTTAGTATTATTATGAACTCTTTTCTACTGCAATAATTCTTAATTTATACATTTTATTTTTTAAAAGGAAAAACGAAAATCAAATGCAGTGGCAACATCCAGCACTACAAAATGAAAAGGAAAAGAGAATATAGATCCATAAGTGGTATGTTTGCTTATATGTTTTTCTTAAAAAAATATTTATGATGTATTCCATTATTGTTCAACCACAGACTTTTGTACTACAATTCTTATATCCTTATTCGCTTTATAATTTTAAATTTATTGTAATTTTTTTAAAAAATTATTCTTTAGGAAATCAACGACAATGTTTTATCAACACGTCAATTGACACAACGTGCACATCAAGAACAGGAGAAATGTCAATTAAAAGAATCAACTGTGTATGTAATAGAACAAATTGTGCCAATAGATTTTTCAGAGTCATCATCTGTGAACATAATGCTTCGAGGAATGTCTCCACAAAATGTTAGGGAAGGCGTCACGACGCATTTGGAACCACGCTCTAGATGTCCTATAGAAATTTCTGAACATACTGTAAAATAAACTGTGGCAACAAATGATGTTGGGCCATCCCACGTGATTTCCATGTTACAAGCAGTGCCCAATTTGAACAAAAACACTACAACAGAAGCTAACCAACCCTATAGGTGTTTGTTATAAAATAGAATATTTGGAAATCACCATTACGTTCTTTTAAAACTTTAACTTATCTTTTTAAATCTCACGTATTACAAGGTCGAATTAATCCTCGAACACACGTATTACAAGGTCGTCATTTACTCAGGAGTATGGATGTACCATGTACTCATTGTCAAGCATTACATTGGATAGCTGAACAATTATCATATTCCCGTTCAGGACGTCCTCTATTTGGATCATGTTGCTTGTAAGGAAAAATTCAACTACATCCACTTATTACACTCCCGACAGAACTTAAAGCATTGTATGATGAAAATTATTACAAATTCAAATTATTTCGACAACATACATGAGAGTATAATGCAACTTACGCTTTTACAAGTCTTGATGCTACACTAGATCCAAAATTAGTGACAGGAAATTGTCCTACATTATTCACTATACATGGAGAATTATGCCATATATCGAATAGGATCACTCATACCACAACCAAATCAGAAATCAATATAGAGTTAACTATACATTTATGATCCTATTGCAGCCTTAGATGTTCGTAGTCGTAGAAATCCTCAGTTGCAAAGGAACGTTTTAGACATCATTCAAGACTGTTTGCTGCATGTAAATCTATTCACAGCCAAATTCCAACAAGCCTATGAGATTTTAAGTCAATCAAATTTGGCAAGTCAAAATTTACTAGCTTATCTTCAATATCACCCAACATTAGATCGACGAAGATATAATCTCCCTACCACAGACGAACTTGCGATAATATTACCCCGATATGGCACTGAGTCAAGTAGAATGAGAGATATCATTTTACATTTAAAAGGAAATAATGAGTTGATGTAGATTAATGAGTGTCACCCTGCATATTTATCCTTACATTATATGTTATTGTTCCCCTGCAGAGAACTTGGATGAAAACCTGAGTTGAGACAGTGGGACAGTTCACTTGGTAGACCCTCGACTAATCAATTTACTCAGTTACAGTATCATAGTTATCGTTTGTTTCAACGTCCAATTGAACATTCAACAATTTTGAGGGGTGAAAAACTTTTCCAATGGTATTTAATAGATGTTTGGGCTACTACTGAACAAAATCGGTTGACATACTATAAACTTAATCAATTGAAACTTCGTGTAGAACTGTACAAAGGCCTTATAGATGTTTGTGCTAATGAGATGGGTCCTGAACAAATTGGTCAACGAATAACTTTGTCATCTTCCTTCATTGGTAGCGAAAGGCATATGTTTGAAATATTTTAAGATTCAATGACTATTACAAGGTACAATCAACACCCTGAAATATTTCTCACCATGACTGCAAATCCTAACTGGTCTGATATTTCTTTAGCTTTGCTACAATATCAATCAGTTTATGACCATCCTAATTTAGTTGCGAGAGTTTTTGAGTTAAAGAGAAAATTTTTGATGAAGGAGATAGAAGCAACACAATTGTTTGGAAAAAAGGTAGCACATGTTTTTACTATTGAATTTCAAAAA